ACCATTGGGACTATATATCCAAACCATAGTAGGACACTATATCCCATTACTGATAAAAATATTATAAGACAAAATTTTAGTTTTTGTTTTGATTATTTCATAACGGCAACTTCTATTTTCTGGTAAGAATAAATAATTCGATGCATGTATTAGAGGGACCGGAAAGTAATGTTGTTTCGGTGCATTTGATATTTGTTATCAAGATTTTATTTTTAATCAATAATGTATCCACCCTCGTTAGCAGCAACCTTTCAATGCCGTATCGAAAATGATTCGAAATGGAGCGGGAAAGAAATGAATTGGTTTTTGAGACTAACGAGTATTTAATGACGAATATTAAACGACATTACTTTCCGGTCCCCCTAAACTATTATTTTCATTATTTATTCCCATGCAATATATAATTATTTTTACATAGGTTATAATCAAGACGTTTGGGATTTACTGTCCCAGAAGAATTCGTGAAAAACTTTAAACTCGTAATATACTTATTTTAATCTATCAGCATTGACTGCGTTTCATGCTTAAATTTTAATGCTGTAACAGTCGGATGGTTAATAAGGGAAACAAAAGTTTTCATTAAACACTGCATTTCTTTCAGTTTTCTGTCAATTACTAAAAAATGTCTCCTTTATTCTCCCCCCCCCCAATTTACAGTTTAAAATTAACAGTGCCGAAAATTGTTACTTTTGGCACGGTTTTTGTTTTAATTGGAGTCACTTTTTCTTAATGTATGACACAGTGTGACAAAATCACGCCATCAAGCATGTACTTCACTATCAAGTAAATATCTTTTGCTAACATTCAATACATTATTATGAGAACTGAAACATCTTGATACACTATGCAAAATAATCCGTCCTCATACATATCATTTTAGAATCATCTTTAAGAATGAAGCTGAAAAAAATCTGCAAATTAGGGATTGCAAACTACGATTTAAGAGCGGGAAAAAATAACTGTATGGAAATCTTAAGAATCACTATTAAGATAAGCGGAATTGAAACCAGTTTTATTTCATTTTATTTTATAACCACCGCTGCAGAGTCGACTAGGGGGATCCGTATGGGCAATACTTTTATATTTAAACATACATGCAATGGGTTTTTATTCAGGAGATTTTTTGTTTATACTTCTCACTTGTGTTTATTTTTAACGTATTGAATTACAATGCTAACCCTTTGATACGCAAACGAGTGCAAACCGGTTTCAGTCATGTAAGAACAATAAAGCTGTATCACTTGAGATTTTACTTCGAAACTTCTAATAATATGGCCAGCGACAGGTAGTTTCTAAGAAATTTCTTATTTATTCCCCCAGTTTATTAACTGCAAAAAAAAAAGCACCAAACATATTCCTACAGACTACTTAAAAAGAGTTTTCAGCTGCCTTCAATCATAGAAGCCTTAACCAACTAACCATTTTTAAAAAAAACAAGGTTCTTTTAATTGAATGATTCTTTGCATATTCAATATGCAGCCCTCAATGAAGGAGAGAATTAAAATAAAAATTAATAATTTAACCTTTCTTGAATAATTTTTCTTGTACAAAGAATTGGTAAGGAGGCGTATACGAATTCAGACACGAAATTCGAATTGTTTATCTAAAAAGAAACGCCAGAATTGGCAACATAGAAGGTTTTATTTCATTTGTAACTGTTAACCATTGGATAAAAATCTTGGGTGTCTTCTTTTTCTATCTCGTGTTTGACTGGTTATCGCTTGAACGATTTCGAATATCAACATCGTATTGATGTGGTCTCGACCTTGGAATTGCGAGGGGAACCTTGGTCTGACAAAAGGGATCTTTGATTATCTCTGATCGTCTCTTTTTCCTTTGTTTAGCCCAATATTGCGTTGCATTGAAAAAGCTCACAAAGAAATGTCTTTAAAAACGCTTCTGGAGTCGATTATACTTCAGCAATTTTAAATGTCATGAATTTCGTTTAGTCCCTCTAAGGTCCTTGCCTTTACGTGCATTTTCACTCGAATCAGCGTGAATCAATTCGCGTGAGCACAATTCGTCGCAACGACAATTCATCGAGAGTAAAGCGCGTTGCAAAGGGGCAGTTACCCCGGGTCAGAGGGGCCCCCAAATCGAGTGGGTTTCCTTCCTGAGTGAGCTTGTTTTTAAACAAAAAATCAGTGCCGTGTGAAATCCGTCAGTTTTATGTTAGCTTCTTCATTCATCTATCGTATGAATACAATCTCGTAAATATATGGCTTTATAGTGCGGAATTCAGCTAAATTTTCGCAATGACGATAGACAAATTGGGTCAATCAAAAGCCTGCAATTTTACATATTGCAAAATGCGATGTCTTTACAAAAATACAGACTTTTGATTAACTTTAATTGAGATATCGTCATTGCGAAAATTTAGCTTTTATATATATATATATACTCAAGAAAAGGACTTTTCTAGAAGATTATTCGCCTTTTTATCAAATATTCCGCGATTCACAGGATATATATTCTGTGAATCGCGGAATATTTGATAAAAAGGCAAATAATCTTCTAGAAAAGTCCTTTTCTTGAGTTGCTGGGATATTTCTTCTTGATTGAAATTGAAATCACGTTTCAGGCATTTCCATCCACTTAACCAATTCATCAGAGGGCATTTGATCTTCTTTGAAGATTATTTTTCAACAATGCAATGACGAGGACTATTATTTTCATAAGTAACTTTTGAAAAAAAAAAAATTAATGACCCGGTATTATGAGTAATCGTTTAAAAAGTAAAATAAGTGGTTAAAAAAGGATTTCCCCAGTGTATATGCTTACGATAATCATCGATTTATAAATAAAACTCTTTTTCAATATTATAAAATGCATGATTTTAGCATATAGATTATAGATAATTCTGCAATTATTATTATTTTTTTAAAAAAATAATTGTGTCGTATCAAAAATCTCGTATGGAATATAAATATTTTTTAAATCGAGTCATTTTTAAAATTTTATTCTGTTATTAAATTATTATTATTATTTCCTAATTTATTTATTGATTGATTTTTATGTGTTAGTATTTTATAGTGTATTATTGTTTCTGGAGAATTTTAAGTGATTTTTATTCAAAACAATTTTTGATACAACATTAGATATTTGGGTGATTCTTTGGAAACATGACAATTCGGATCAAAAAATTTCTTCAAATTAAAAGTCTTCAAAATAGTCTAAAAATTTTTTTGTAAATTTATTTAGTTGCATTTATTAGTAACTTACAGACAGCAATGTAGTTTATTGATATTTGCTGAAGAAAAAAAAATAAAATAGAAATTCACCAAATTTTAGACCAGGAAAATTATATATTAGCTTAGAAGTAAAAAAAACAGTCATTTTAAGCTGATAGTAAGTAACTCTACTTAAGCCTTTGCGGCAGATGGACCATGAATTGCTTAAATTAATTCTCTTATCCACTGTAGAAAGAATCAAAAATGTTTTTGTTGCTGATATGTACAGAATAAAATTGTGTATAATAATCAATCATTAAATAAAAAAATAACTTTGATTACATTCAACCATATTACAATCTGACATGAACTTGGTATTAGGTTAATATTTGCTTTCTCTCTTTACAATATACTGTTTAAAAAGTTTTCTGGTAACACGTCAATGACCTTTCATTTATAAAACCGGGAAATGACAGCCAGGATAATGACAATTTGCCATTATATAGTATTTAACTTTACTTTAACATTTCGGCCTAAGATGTTTACATTCTGCGGAAAACAACAGGATTTCTTGAAATAACTCAGGTAAAAATCTATGTAGTTTTTGTTATTAATAATTTCAAGAAGACAGGAAAATGACAGCATAAAAACCTACTCACCTTGAAAAAATTTTTGAAATAGGTTTTGAACCAGAAAGTTGGTTCTTTATTCATGCAATAAGACATGCTCAGATAGGATGGTATTCTGATCAATCTATTAACATAGGATATTGATTGCTAATGCTATCTAATTTGCTTATAAATCACTAAATAAAAGTAGCCAGGAAAATGACAGATTTTCTTGTGACAAACAAATTATTGACAGAAAAAATTATTTTCAACAAAATTTTTGTAAATAATACCCTCTGCATATATTCTAGAAATGCTTACAACGGTTGAGATAAAAAAAAATAAATTAGATATTGAAAAGTTTATGGAAAGTTTTGAAGCTAGTTATTATTGGAAATATTGTTTGTGACATACCAGGACAATGACATTTTGAAATTCAATTAATTTTTTTAAATATACAAAGCAGTCAATGCTAGTACAAGGTCATTTTAAAATACTAACTGCAATGCTATTTATTGAAATTTAAAAAAAAAGTTATTTTAGTAGATCTTGGAGACTGTAAATTGTTATGTGTCGTGAGAATCACACATTTATAAATTTTTATTACTTGCTTCGTCGCTAATCATATTTTGAATATTTTTTTTTATATTCATTTATTGAATGATACATTCTGATAACTGTTTTCATCATTTGAAGTTTTTACTGAAATTATTTTTACTTTATCTAAATAATGCGAATGTTTTTTTGTTTTTGTTTGAATTTAATTATTTATTTTTTTCGTTGTTTTTTCCTCTTTTAATTTATTTTAATTTTTTTTTTTAAAAAAAACATGATATTTTACTTATATGTTTATTAGTTTAAAAATACATTTGAGTGAAGGAATACTCTGCACACGAAGTCGAGCACTTTACGGTTTAACGAGGACCCATACCGCACACCCTCGGTCCCTAAGCAGACTAATCCAAGTGGTCACTCACCCGCACACTGACCGCAGCCCGTGATGCTTGATAAAATAATATTATATGTGTATAGCGAGTTACGGGAGCGAACATTTCGTTCACTCTATCCGGGAGTTCACTATAAACGATGTTCACTATAACGGGGTTCGATTGTATTTAATCCGCCACCTATATGGGACCTTTGTTGCAAAAAAAAAAAATTTCTTGATACTTAGAATACTTTTAAAATCTCATCAGAATTTATTTTGTCTTCCTTTTTTTCTTTCTCTAACTTGTTAATCATAATTGTAGAAAGAAAGAGTCCCGTCATGGTCTGATGATTCCAGCTATAAAAAGTGTTACCCATCTTCAAATGTTTTTAACTTTTCCCCCCTTCACGGCTACCGGTGGTCACGTGAATCATTGTTGTTCGTCGAATTGATAAAAAATAAAAGACCGTGGAAGACATTCAGTTTTCAGGAATTAGAGAGAGGAGATCTTTAAGAATAAAGCGACTTTAAACGATACTCTTTTTTTTCATCAAGCATAATTCCAAACTTTAGAAATGTTCTTTAGTTGTTGATAGTTACAAACACGATGAATAATACGATATCAAAAGTTAACGTTCCTATCAGAATAAACTGATTTACGGAAAGTCATTATAAAGTTCAAGATTAAGTTTGTACTGATCTTCTCATTGCTAGGAAATGATTCCAAATCGACAGTTTTCGTCCTGATCTTTATTATTTTGTAGAACAATTGTAAATCATGAAAATGGTGGGATTTCTAATTCTTTCTCTTGTTCTGAGACTTGCTGTGTGTGAAGAAACCACAACTGAATCAACAACTGAGTCTACATGGATGCTAACGGTAAGTTTCATCTCTCTTTTTTAGTTACTCTTAATTGTGTGACGAAGAAATTTTTATAAATTGAGGTTTCGGACTGTGATATTTTTCTTTAACATCTTCCCTGATTATCTCCAGTTAACAGAATATTTATTATCCCCAGAAATCTCGGCAGAATGCGTCAGTACATTTTTACTCTGTCGGAAGCAAAACATAATCTGATGTAATTGGAAGTTTTGCTGTTAGATTCTGGAACTGTGCACGTGTCTTGTGCGATTGTTGAATTTACATAGCAATAAGAGTAAATGGTGTATTCCTTGACTAACGTTTGAAAAGTATCACATTGTGTTGTTTTAAGAACCATCATACGAAGACTGATATTTAAATTTTTTAATTGCCCGAAATAACTCGAGATAGTAAACTGATAATAAATTAAACGTTTCTTACACATGAAAAAATTTTAAAATGTCAACTTAAATCTTGTGTATTGTACTTTGCTTTAGTTCCTTGCATTTATGAATAAAATAAAATTTGTTTTAATTTTTTGCAATTTTTTTCTTCAAAAAAATTGATAAAGGAAGCGGTGAATAAACTTTAATAGTAACAAAACTAGAATCTTTGACTGAAAGTCGAAGGTAAACATATGGATATAATCATATTTATCACAATCTTGAAACTAGGATCTTTTTTTAAAAAATAAATATTTTTTAAAATTATTATCTTGAAATATAAATGAGTTTCCTTATCTGTAAAAAAAGTTGGGTGTTCTTGAAATTTGCAATATGAAACAACCTTTTTAAACTTATACATTATATTATATATCTTAAAATTGCTTTTAACTATTGTTACTTTTAACCAAAATTATTTTTTAACTATTTACGTAATTTGTTAGATAAATATACATTCGATATATTTTACACGCTTTGTTTGATAAAAGCAAGAGCAATAGATTTTTTTGACGAAAGGTTATGTAATCAGCAAAAAAATCAATATTTGGAATAAAGAACAAGAAATCATCTTTCTCGAACAAACGTACACAAAAATGCTTCGTTGAGTGCTTTTTTTTTTTTTTTTTTGCGAAATTTAAAATTTGTGTTGGGTTAGTTCTATCAAAAAGTCTTCCTTGTTTTTTCCAATACTTGATCTAAGAGTTTTCTGGATTAGTTTCAAAATAACATGGGCTAAAACATTGAAATGGAGTTGAACATTGGTAGTCGTACACTCAAAGTTGGGCGTCGATTACATAATAAATAAAATAAAATATATGCGAAGTTTGAATCGCGGATTTAAATAATTACTTACTGTCGCATTTTATTCAGTCTGATTTAATCGTAAATTTAAATGTTTTTTTTTATCGCTCATCTCATTTTTGCAATTTTTTCTATGCTTTTCCACGTAATCTTGACTATCCTGTTATTTTAATCATAATGTTACAGTTGAACCTGTTTATCTCCAACCTCTTTAACTCGAAAACTTTATCTCAAAACTTTTAAATTTTCCCATATTTACTGTCTAAAATCGATGTATTTCCATGTTTACGTCAATTTTTTTTCTTCAAAACCTCCGTTTCTTGAATTTCTAATAATAGAGCCGCAACTTTCTTTATCAGTAGAACTTGCAGACAGAGATAAATTTCGTGAAACCACAGGAAATGGGGATGAACAGGTGTTTCCTACCGTAAGAGTTTTTCGTGGTTTTCCTCTCCCTGTTACACTTACGTGGGTTAGTTCTATCAAAAAGTTCTCCACGAAGGCTAGTTTGTCCCAATGTTTGATTCAGGAGTGCCTTTATCTTTTGAATTGGGTTCAAAATGACACGGGGTTGAACATTGAAGTCAGAAATTATGTCGAGTATTCAACTAGTCTGAGTCTAGAAAAAAAAACTCCAAGAAGGTTCAACTGGTCTGCTTTTCTTTTAATTTGATAGTTCCTGCATATGAGTAGATCATAGCACGAAGAATGTCACTCTGCTACCAACGGGGTGACCAAAATACGAATTTTCCAATAGAATTAACATTCCACATAGTTGCAATTTTAAAATGCAGAGGATTCTTATATTAGCATACAGCTCCAATAAATAGAAGCACCGTTTGTCTTTTGTCAGGTGAGGTCACCGTTATTTTGCAACACTTTTGAAAACTGTTACTATAAACCATGGTCAACCAGAATTTTAAAAAAAAGTTGCATATTAAATGCTTATTCAGAAGGAAACGTTGCGTTGATACTCTGACTATCACGTGAGATCGAGAGCATGATTTTCTATGTCAAATATTTACTGCAATTGCTCACAAGGCACGTTATTTATATTGAGTCAACAATTTTAGGTTAGCACAATTCAATCACAGTTGAGTCAGGGGATAGGGCAAACGCCTTCCAATGAGGTGAACTGGGTTCGAATCCCCAGCGATGGATGATAGGAAAGAATCCGGCTTGCACCGACCACAGTGCTGACGTGAAATATCCGCAATTGTGGATGGGTTAGAAACCCTTTATCGTTAGGCTAATCGGAGAAGGTTCACGTGGCTTTCCTCTCCATGTAACGCAAATTCGGGTTAGTTCCATCCAAAAGTTTTCTACGAAACCGAATTTCTCCCCATACTGGATCCAGGAGTTCCCTTGTCTTCTGGGTTGGATTCCAAATGACAAGGCTACGGAGTTGAACATTAGAAGTCGTACAACCGAAAATTGGGTTGGCTGTTCAACAACGGTTATTAAAAAAATGTGGACAGTTTTCGGAAATTCCGTTGATGACAGTTGTTATTTGAAAATTATTGGATTGTTTGTTGCTTAAAAAGTTTTAGATTTTATTTATCTTTGTTTTCTTTTTTTTGTTGCTTAAAAACAGATTTCTGTTTTATATTTTATTATTCTTATATTTCTTAATTGTTATTTATTTCATTTTTATTGTTTTTTTTAATTATTTATAATTGTTTATTAGTATTTAGAATAAATATGGGAATTTTCGGTTCACAATTCAGAATGAAAGCGTTGCAATGCGTATCTAGTTTATTATTCTTTTTAAAATGGATGTCACACTATATTGTTTAAAAAAAGCTTTATTTACTTTAAATGAAGCTAACAGAGATGTTATATAAATAATGGATTGAAACACTGAGCATAATTGAATGTTACAAAAATCATTATTGGTTTAAAAAACCTGAGTGGAGGTAACACTATAAGAGGGCTCTTTAGCCGAATCGTGAGAGGAATCTTGGTTATTATCGTCTGTCTCATCTCGTCACGGATGAAGTGGACGCATCACTCGACTTGGAGAAGGGTTTAGCGACCCTCCACAAATCCGGATATGGATTCATAACCGGCACTCGGATGTCATGCATACTCTAATCCCCCCCCCCTAGAAGAGGAATGACCAATTCGATTATTAATCCCAAAGAATTCGCATTTCATTCAATAGCTTCTAAGATAGGTGGAATAAAGTGAGTGAGCATTCTTTTTAACTTAGTCTTCGATTGATACAAATGCTGTTTTTACCTTTCATAGTGTTACTTTTTGTGACGTTAAAATATTTCTGGAATTAGGGTTGATTTATATAAAAAAATAAATTCATTTTCCGAAAATTAATTTAATTTCCAATAGTTGGCTGGAAGGTGGAAAGGAATTCTTCCAAATTTTACTTATTGTTAGGGAATGAATGAAAAACTTGTGTCTATCTAAAACTACAAAAATATTATACCTATTCACTTAACTCGATTCCTTGGTGGGGTACTGCCTTCTCATAGATGAAGGTTGACGATATCTGCTCACCACACATGGATGATTCGGACGTGATGGGAAAACGCCTACCTCGACATCCACTTCTATATAAACATGCCTATCTTGTCAGTTACGCCCACTTCGATCTGAACACGCATACTTCGATGGATAGTCCACATTGAACAGTTGACTTGCTGCTTGTGACGTTATCCACCTCCTCGCGCTCTTGCTACTCAGTCTCGATCACACACAACGTCGGCCTGCATACACTGGACTGCTAATGGCAACATAGGAGAGGCCAGAACCGTGAACTTAGTACTGCTCTCCCGGCTTCTCACAAAACAACAATGAATCAACTAGTGTCATCCATTCATCGAATTCTATCACAGACATAATTCTGGGGTGGGGGGAGTATTTTGGTGTATCTACCACTACAAATATACAATTCTAATTCACTAGTATATATAAGACACGTTAACTCCATTCTATGGTGTGGTGTCTTTTCATAGATGAAGGTTGACATTGTCTATAGCTATTATCCCCACAAGTAGTAATAAATACAAATAAACTCGGTGAAATATGAACTCACAATAGCATCTCGGTCTCCCTTCATTGATATATTTTCTGAAGCGAATGGCACACGCATCAAAGGTGAGAAAATGCAGAGAAAAAAAATGAATACGGTGGGTAGTATACTTCCTAGGGTCTAATAAGGATTAACTTAAAAAGTACTTTTTTTTAACAGGATGAATGGTAATAATAGAATAGTGACGCGTAGTAAACACTTTGAAAGTGTCGGGTAACAAAGTCCTCCATATTCCCGTAACAATTTATCCCTCTGAGTGGTACTGAGTTCGAGATGGATCGTTTTCTGGTTCAGGTGGAAATGACGATCTGTGGATGATTGAATGGATGTGTGATTGGGTCCACCCTATAAAAAACGGGTGTGACGTATGGGTGGGGCAGAAGTCAAATTCTTGGTCATAGATGGCGTCACTGGAAAACAAGCACCCCTTTAATTTAAAATATATATTTTTAGAGATACCATTTTATTATACATGCTGTGATCTTTATAGTTTTAATGAGAAGCAAGTTAGAGATATTTTAAAAGAAGTGTTTAAAGATGCTTTTCATGTTAAATACAATGAGGAAATCAGAAGGAAGAAAAACTGTTTATAAAAGGCTGCTGCTGATAATATCTTTTTGCTTGAAAGGGCAAAATGAAGCTACAGATGCTACTACCAAGTTTGTATCGGTTTTTAGAAAATCCACAGTTAAGCGAAAATTTAATCTAACTTGAAGTTAGATGCAATTCTTTTTCTCCATATCTTCAATGAGCAACGTTCCCTAAACTCATTTATTTGTAATCTCTTGTAATCAGTGGGAGTAGTTTTGGGGAGGGTTTGAGAAAAACCCCTCCGAAATTAAACATTAATTGATTATTGAACAGTAAATAGGAGGTAAAAAAGTTTTCATCATTCATTTTTTTTAATAACCGTCATTAAACAGCGTTTAGGGTTTACGACTACCCATGCTACAAGAACTCTCCATAGCCTTGTCATTTTGAATTCAATCCAGAAGACAAGGGAACTCCTGGATCAAGTATTGAGGGAAATTTGCCCTTGTGGAGGACTTTTTGATTTAACTTACCCGCATTTGTGTTACATGGAGAGGAAAACTACGAATAAAAACCCCTTTTAGCCTGATGGCAAAGGGACTCTAACCCACGATCCGTCTGCCACTGAGGATATTATACAACGGCATTGTGAGCGGTGCGAGCCGGGCACGTATTTCGTAATGATCAGACATCGCTGCGATGCGAACCCGGTTCACCTCATTGGAAAGTGAACGCTCTATCCCTACCACAACTCCTTGCCCTTTACCTTACTCCATTTCTTTGTAATGTTTATATGTATATTAACAGAAGTTTTTTGCGTTACATCCCCCCTCGCCAAAAATTTTTAATTACAATCCGAAATTTTTAAAAATTATCCATTTGCAAAATTTTCCCTATGGTAAAAGTACAATTAAGATGAAAATAATGAAATTTGTAATATTAACAATATATAAAAGTAAAATGAATTATAAAAATTTACATTTGTACACAATTGAAAATCTATAGTAGCATTATCAGCAAATTTAAAATTTTCATTTTCAAAATTTTTTTTGACTTAACAGTTTTTTCAGCTCCAAGTCACAATAAAGTTTTTCACCATAGCATTCGTCATAATCACACACTTTTTGAATTAACTCTTCAATCACGATGATAAAAATTTATAAACATTTTTAAAATGTGAAATTAAAATGTAAAACACATAATACAAAAAACAGTTTATCAGGAAAAATTTCAATCTGAAATTAGACTTGAGTATTGTTTACCTTGTTTGAAACAAACATAAAAAAAATGACATAGTGGTTGTTATTGTGAAGTCCAAGATTTCAGTATCCAGATTCAGATTTATCACTTTAATAGCAAAATATTCGGGGGAAAATTTATTTTATTTTATTTATTTATTTTTATGTCCAAAATTTGCCTACTGTAACATTTTTTCTATTTCCTCTCTTATTTTTCTTTCGACTTTCTATTTTTCTTTTCTTTCTTTTATTTTTCTTTTCTTTCTACTTTCTATATTTTTTTATACTTTTATTTTCTTTCTTGGTATTTTTATTGCAATTATTAACCCATTACAACTCGTTTAACACAATTTATCACTAATTTAAATCCAAAACAAGCTTTTAAATTTAATATGGCATTAAGGTAAATCAGTTTTTAATTTTTGACTGATCAAGCTATTTTCCTTATTTTTAATCTGAAGTGCAAGTTTGGTTAATTTGCAAATTACCTTTGAATTATTTATTTATTTATTTTTATATTTCTTTCTTTCTTTCTTTTTAAACAGAATTTTTTTTTTCAAAAATTTTAGTTCGGATATTTTTTTAAAGTAATTTTTGTGCAGAAATCGTAATTGGTTATTTAATATAAATTCTACCAATCAATAAATCATAGAAACTGTATCACATAAAACAATAAATATGAAAATTATTTCTTGAAACATTCTTTATGCCAATCAAAACCATCAATTCACTGAAAATAAAAATTTCTCAAGAAAAAAATTCAACAGTAAATACGATCAATGTATAAAAATTGTTTCAATTGAAACATCAAGTATGAGAAAAAATTAATATCATAATCTATGATTTTTGTTCATTTACAAGAGTGCTTTTTTTTAATTTTAATCAATAAAAATTCAAGAAGTTGTTTTATGAGAATTGTAAAAAAAATCACTTAAAGGATACGTGAAAAAGTTCGAATTAGTCCAAGAAGATATTCTGAAAACCGCAGCATCACAGATGAAAGTGCGTTGAAATTCCATAAACACAATTCCAAAAGTAAAAATGAAAGCTGCTAGGGAAAAAAATTTGTTTCTTCGTCGGAATGAAGGAATCATATTTCTTCTTGAATGAGGCGGGGTGAAAACAAATTATTGACTATACAATCCAGGGCAGTATTGGGAAAGAGGCATAACTAAGCTTTACGTAATTCACTTGTAAAGGAAAGGAATTTCAAATTAACTTATTAATGTCTATCAGGAATCTGATGCAGTTTTTCTTTTTAGTCCGAAATATTGAAGCTCAGCTTTCTAGTAGTCTCAGGAACGTAGGCATAACATACACAAAAGGATGATCTTTTTAAGACAAGTTCCACTGGGCGTCATTTATATAAACAAAAAGTTTGATGATCGAAAAATTTATTTTTTGTTGAAGATACTGGATGAATAATGAATTGCCGTGAGTTAAAGAAGAATTTGACACATAATTTTCAACTGTCCATGCGAATGAGATATTCGATATTTTTGATGTACCCTCTTCCGAAGTTGATTTATTTAATTTCAAATGAGAGACATTGCATATTTTTGATGTATCGTACCGCCTTCCCGATTGTTCAGTCCTGGCGACTTATAGCGCCGAGTGGAAGGATTAAAACAGGCCGGGAAGGAGGGTACAAAATTTATTAATTATTAGACAGAGCAGTCATGAGAAATGTGTGAAAGTGAACACGAAAAGTTGCGCTCCTTGGTTATATGTTAGGGAAAATCTTGCAAAGTATAATCCGTAAAATGTAGGAGGGGAATGTAAAAAGAGGGAAATCTTTGAAATTGGTTTATCAAATAGGTCTCTCGATTCCCACAGAGAGGGAAAAATATCCTGCTTTTAATTAAATGCATACTTGAGCCAAAAATAGATTTAAGAACAGGATGTGGCTTTTAAAAGTGTGAGAAAGTATTTCAATTAGGATAATTAATTTGCGTAAAATTTTATATAGTTTCTTTTTTTCTTTTCTGTTTTTTGTAGGAGGGAAGTACTACTGTCATAGTGACCACGCAGAAAAATGATAAGCATTACAATAAAACTGGTAAGTTTCTCTCTTGCTTTTTATGTTAAGCACTCATGTTATTCAATGAAATATTTATTTTTTGTTTTTTTCCTTCTTTTTTGCTCATTTATGAGATAAGTCTCGTTTGCTAATAACGAATGAAAGAAATTATTTTTAGTATTGAATCGGATCTTGTATAGACACAATTCCGCGCAAATACTACTACGAACTACTGTAATAATTTGAAGATTTATCGCGTCCATATTAGTGATAAAAGTAATCCCTCATCAGGTAGACTTCCAACGAAGAACAGACTTCAATGAAATTTCGTAAACTAATGACATGGAGTGAATTATTACTTTCAGGGATCTGTCTAGGTTTTTATGAGAGGTTGTGAAAAGTTATACATTATTTTTGAAAATTAAAATAACTCAACGCAAATATAGGGAAAAGTAAGAAGATATTTTCAAAAATGGTCACTGCCAATAAAAATCATTGATGACTGGTAAATTTTTATGCATTTTTCCCCCTATATTCAAAAATAATTTTGCTGTTGTAAAATTTTGAACTTAAATTTTAATTATGAAAACATTTCCAGCTGAGTCATATAGAAAAAAGTTTCGCTGAGAAAAAAAAAATAGTGCGTGGAGTCCCTCCGCGCGGAAGAAGTTAAACTTCGCAACCTGTGACGTTAATTGTAGAAGAATCAGCAGTCGTAGAAGGATCACTAGTTCTATTCGACGACTCTTTTTCCTGCTCCGCTCGCTTCCGTGCTCTGTAATCNTGTGTATGTGTATATATGTGTATATGTATATATGTATACATAATATTTTGAAATATTTATCGAAAATATTTTGAAACTGCGCCATTGCTTGTAGGCAAGTTATAAAATGCCACTTTCCATAAATAAATAACTTTATTCTTGTTTAGAATATTTTATTTTTATTTACTGTCATCTGGAGTGATCCACCTTTTAAATCTAAATCTTATTCTTGTTTTTATTGTTTTCAAATGCTACTTGCTCCAAAATGATTCTCAATATAACGGGTAGTTCTATCGATATTTTCTTTCTCCTGACATACTCCATTTAGTCAGTTTGAGTTTTATTGCGTAAAACTTTATATAATTTTTTTTCTTCTGTTTTTTGTAGGAGGGAAGTAGTACTGTCATAGTGACCACGCAGAAAAATGACAAGCATTACAATAAAACTGGTAAGTTTCTCTCTTGCTTTTTATGTTAAGCACTCATGTTATTTAATGAAATATTTATTTTTTGTTTTCATTTTCCTCCTTTTTTTTTGCTCATTTATGAGAAGTCTCGTTTGCTAATAACGAATGAAAGAAATTATTTTTAGTATTGAATCGAATCTTGTATAGACACAATTCCGCACAAATACTACTACTGTAATAATTTGAAGATTTATCGCGTCCACATTAGTGATAAAAGTAATCCCTCATCAGGGAGACTTCCAACGAAAAACAGACTTCAATGAAATTTCGTAAACTAATGACATTATGGAGTGAATTATTACTTTCAGGGATCTGGCTAGGTTTTTATGAGAGGTAACTATCTTGTGAAAAGTTAGACATTATTTGTGAAAATTAAAAATTATATTTAAAAATCAACGCAAATATAAGGAAAAGTAAGAAGACATTTTCAAAATTGGTCACTGCCAATAAAAATCATTGATGACTGGTAATTTTTTATGCATTTTTCCCCCTATATTCAAAAATAATTTTGCTGTTGTAAAATTTTGGACTTAAAATTGTTTCGAAATTTAAAAATCATTATCCATTTTTAAACTGCAGCTTGAATTTTTTTTAAAAAAGAAACATATTCATTTGACAATACTTGCACTAAAAGTTATTTTAATTATACAAAAATTTCCCGCTGAGTCATATAGAAAATAATTTCGCTGAGAAAAAAATTTTTTCATAAAAAATTAAAAATCTGTTAGAATAAAATTTAGAACAATGTTCGAATGTTTCGAATAATGCTCGAATTTCAACTCCTTGTAAAGTTTACAGAGGAAGCGCGTCGTCGATGAATTTAAGAAAAGAAAAAATAACTGTGAAAAAGAAGCTCGCTATAATATGACGTAAATTACCTATTAGGCTACCACACCGCACTATCTGACCAAGCACGCGCAACTTATTCTTATATATGCTTAATTAACCCGCTATTTATCGTTTTTCTTACGGGGATACAAAAACAAAATTTTAAGAAAGAGAATCTTAGGACTTGCTTTTTTAAAAGCATTTTGCGAAACTAACGATTTTCGTAAAGTTGAATGGGTGAAGGTACCGCTAGACGGTACTAAATTCGTCCTGGACAGACCCCTGACTTTAATATAGAAAATTAGAGTAAAGACTGATTTTAGCCGTTTTTTTTCTTTTAGTTAAAATGAAAGGAATACCAAATTGTAGTAGAATAATGCAAATTTTTGTCGTATTTTGATATGAAATAATTGTCTTGCTGTTTGCCCCTGACATCGGTACTCGTTCGTTTTTCCAACAGCATACTCAGAAATGCAATGATTTCATTTTAAACTTTTGTCGAGACAGGCATCTTCAACCATCAGCAAGTTATTGTTATAATTATCAGCGATAGACAGAAGTTCCTCAAAGGATAAATAAAAAAACCAACAACGTTTTTCAAAGAAGAAACAATGATGGTGAATTGTGGTTTTTTCTTTTCTTTTCGTAGATACCCTTGAAGTGTGAATGCAACCTCGAAAAACAATTGGGGAAATAATTTTTCCCTTTTTTTTTAATGGCAGCAGTTCTTGCAGAGTTCCTTTCATTAAAAGATGCAACCGCTTTATTATGGCATTGTGGAGGAATAAATGACGCAGCAGCAGTCTGTAGACTTTTGTTCGATTTCATTGAAAGTCCCCCAGACAAAGAAGAGAATCTCAAATATTAGCTCATTCTGAATGCCAGCGGTACAGATGGATCAAAGTTGAATCGGTGATTACGTGGACATAATTTAAACGATTTATCTCTTTATTGCCGCTGAAATGAGAGTAATCAAGCATTCACTGACCTTTATGGGCAAGATTATTCTTTTTGTTTAGTACCAACAGATTTTCGTGTTTGAAGTAAAGCACGTGCTGTCAAGTGCACGAGTTTTTCACACAGTAGGACGTATTACAGAATTTCTGAAATGAACCTGTTTTAAGAATCATTTTATGAATGTGCTGTTAATAACGCCCGGTGGCTGAGTGGTAGCTCTTCGCCACTCTCCTGCCACAGGTCCTGGATTCGATCCTCGGGCAGGGCAAGGTTGACTCAACCTTTCATCCCTTCAGTGGGTCGATACCAAGCATGATTGGGAACTAAACACTGGGGGTTCGGTTCACCACCTAACAGGAATATCTGCTCCGGCACCCCCAATATCAAGAAAACTGAGATGGGCACAGTAGGCCTCTGTCGCCCCACTGAGTTTACTTTTAAGAAACTAATCGTGAAAAACTTTAGACTTATTACTATAATGAAAATCGACAGTCCTATTTGAAAATGGTTCTCATGACGTCACACTATTGACAAATCATTATTCTGATCTACAATATGTATAATCTGAATAAATTTTTATTTAATGATCAGAATTTTACGTTTAATGATCTGAACGCGAGTGAAGGGCCCACCTTAATCTGTTTTGTTGTTTTTTTCCCCACAGCTTTCATAAATTTAAATTCACAAAATTTAATAAAAATATGAAGGAAAAAAATGTATAGATTTATCTGCACTCTCTTCTTTTTTTTATTGATTCATTTACCTTATTAAATCTCTAGATTAAAAATCGTTAGAATTGATAAAATATACTCTCTGTATCTGAAGCACTCTTCCAACTAAAAAGTTCTTTCTTGAGCTTTCAAATAAGAGTGGAATATATTTTTAAAAACAAATCAGTTATTGCTCTTTATTTCATCGATCATTCATTTACTGTTTAAAAAAGATTGATCAAAATAGATTTAAATGGGTGATTATAAAATAGTTTATAAGTTAAACGCAGAATACGTTTTTTGGACGGATTATTAATATTGATACAATCTGCTTACAAAGAAATTTTATGTCTTATTCATACATTTGGAACTAATTGTTTACACTACTACTAATTGTTATATTGGAACAGAGTTAGAATTTGAATATGCTTCTGCAATATATATATTCTCAATATGGAGATATTGATTGTATATATTCTCAATATATACAATCAACAAACAATATTCTATTCGCATTATGGAATATATTTCCCCAACACTTTCTCACTATTAGAATAGAGAAAACATACTTATTTCCTAAAACAATTGTAAAATTTTAAATATATAAAAACATGGAAGCACGTTAAATTACCGTTAATGCCCGTTAAATGGTTAGGAAGTCTAGTGCCGCTCCTTTTACATTTGAAATATTAATATTTCTTGAAAATCTTTCTTTACTAAAATTTTACTTATGTTCACAGTAAGAAAAAAATCGTTCTTATGCAAGTGGAAGAGCTGATTTCAAATATTGCATCCCAGTTTTTAATCACATTTTTCACAAACTGGATTTGAATTTGTGAAAAAAATGCCGATTTTTCAAAATATTTTGAGGGAGAAATTAAACCGTTAGTGTTTCTGACATATATATATATATATATATATATGGATGAAATCAAACAGAAGTTTATAGAACTGATAGTTAATAAGCTATTATTCATAGGGCACTTCCTTGAGCAAGTTAGTGTCGATGCTTAAAATAAAAATTTAATCCATATTAAGAAGCTATAAGGGGCATACACGGATATAGTACATCAAAATTTCATGCATAAAATTCTCATTTCAATTAACATAATTTTGGATCTTTACGAAACAACAGCCCATTTGCATCTTATGGTAATAGGCTGAACGCGTCAATAGCTTACAAACAGAGCATTTTTATACATACAAAATAAAACTTGGCTTTCTTGGCTTTTTTTAAACTTGGCTTAATTCAGCATGATCAACTACACTGAAAACGATAATTCATTTATCTAGATAAAAATATTTAAATTTCTCTACTTGAATAAGAACCAACTGTAATGCATGCAGGTGTTATTATTTCAAAAATTTGCTTTTATTTATTATAATGATTAAAAGTTTTCTTTTTATTATTATTAGGTTACTCTCAATATCTCCGTAGGATTACAGCAACTCTTTAAAATACTAAGTATTTCTTCTTTTTCTTAGTAGATATACGATGGATTAATGGCAATGAAATTCAACTCGTGAAAAAAAATTTCTCGCAAAGAATTTTTTATAGAATCAGCTATTGGTTTAAATTTTTTATAATTTATAGAATAATCAGCTATTGAAATTTGTTTTGCCTTAACAGCTCTAAAAGTAACTAAGTTATGAAAAGCTTGTTTCACTAAAGTATTCACATTCAAATAGTGTCTTAATTTATGTTGAGCTCGTGCAAAGAATTCGGTAACCAAATGTAAATGAGTGGTATGCTTTCTCGATGATAGCATACAGTCTTCGGCCATACTATTAGACTCACTATAAAGATTATAATTATACAGGCGATACTCTATACAGCTTTATTGTTATCTTACTCGGATGCGTTAATTGACGCTCCTGTATCAATGGGTTAGCATTGTCATGCAATACGTTAAAAATAAATACACATGGGAAGTCTATTAAAAATCTCCTGAATGAAAACCCATGACATGTATGTCTAAATATAAAAGTATGACCTATAAACGCGTGCAAATCATGTCATTGTTTAAAAAACTACAGTGCGTCTCATCATTTGATCCAGTTATTATAATATAATGGTTGATATAATAAATATCGTATATTTATGTAATATATATATCGTCTATCGTCGAATTTATATTATATATCGTCTCAATGAACCCATTGATAAACTAACGTATGCAAACCGCGTCAAAACAATATAGCTGTATAGATCATTCAGAATCTTAGAGAGAGTGGGTCGAATAATTTGGGAGATTTCTAATGGAGTGTTCTTTCTTCTGTAGTGAGGAGGAGTTGTGAGAAGTGGTGGTCGGCGAAAGATTATGAACTCACACATCCCAGTTTTCCGGAAGAGTATGAGAACAGCGTACTGTGTCGTTACACAATACAGAAGAGTGATCCATCTGTGTGTGGTCTGGAAATCACCTTCAGAAAATTTGATCTCGAGACCAGTGCTGGATGCGAGAAAGACTTCCTGGCGATAGAAGACGAGCGCCTATGCGGACATATACCCTCTCAGTCTGTTGGTATGAATTTATTTTTATAGGATTGGTATGATTATTTAT